TTCAAACCAATATGATTTTTTTTTAAATTTTAATATTTGTTTATTTTTTGGCAGACACAACATCTTTGTTTGTATGTGGTGCTGAGGATTGAACCCGGGCTGCACGCATGCCAGGTGACCATGCTACTGCTTGAGCCACATCCCCAGCCCCCAATATGATTCTTGTACTTTGTAAGGAAGGCTAAAAAAATGGCTTTAGTATAAAAAAACCGCCATTTGTTCATTTCTCCTTACTCCTTAATATTATGGAGAATTATAAAACAGCATGCCCTAAAACCCATTTCATATTATTGTCAAGTGATGAGCCCAGGTGTTGACCACTGAGTCAATAGTTAATAATCTTAAGGTATCATACTCCAAGAGGCAACAATTTCAGAGAAGCCACAATTACTTGATGTACTTGAAATAATTTACATATAATAATGTATGTATAAACCTGCACATATAATTTTTTTATCAAGTATAATATGATCATACAAAAACATTGACTCACAATATAGTTCAAACATACAAAAGAAGGCTATTTTATTTTTGTCCCTTTTACATCCTATTTTAGGCAAGATGATGAAACCCAGAAAATAACAGGAATGAATTAGTTTATAAAAACTGAGTATTTTATAAGTGAAACACATTCAGTCATCTACATTTCTCAAATTGCAAACAATGAGACTTACTATACTCTCAAAATGAACTTAAATAAATTATTGCTCTATTCTAATGACATAAACGTTTTCACTGGTTGATAGTCCAGGTAGAAAGAGTATGTGAAGTGATTTATAAGTAAAAACATTTCATTCAATAGGATTTTTTTTTTTTTGGTACTGGGAATTGAATTCAGGAACACTGAAACATTGAGCTGCATCCACAGCCCTATTCTGAATTTTATTTATAGACAGTGTTGCTAAGCACCTCGCCATTTCTAAGGCTAGCTTTGTACTTGAGATCCACCTGCCTCAGCCTCCGGAGCTACAGGGATTACAGGCATACAACCCTGTTCCTGGCCAAAAGGAATGGTTTTAACAAAACCCAGATGATCTCAAGAGAAAATACATAGAAATATTCATATAACATTCTCATTTATATTAATTTATATTACATATATTATTATTTTATTATATATACATATAATATATATAAATTATATATATAAATTATAAATACTAATATATAATTATATTATGTATTACATAATTTATATAATATAAATTAAATATAATATATAATATCAATTATATTTTATGTTATATACTCATATATTATATATTTATATAAATTATATATATAAAATATTTATATACTCATATATAAATTATATATATTAATATGTAAATATATATGTAAAGTATATATATGATATAAATCATATATTATATAAATTTTATGTATATAAAAATATATACGATTTATACATATTTAATAAAAATTATTTATAGCATATGGAGTACATATTTTTATATACACATATAATAATATATAAACTAAATATAAATATATATTGTTTTATTATATATAACATATTATTATCATATAATATATCTAAATTTATATTAATTTGTGTTATATTACTTATTGTAATAGAATTATATGATAATATAATTTCTATTATTAATAAGATAATGATATGATTATTATATTATAGTTTAATTTATATTAATATAATATATAAAATATATGGATTATATTATAATTATATATAAATGACATATATATATATATATATATATATATATATATATATATATATTTAATTCTATAATATGTAATATATAATATATATAATACATAATACATAATATATTATATATAAATATAATTTAAATTATATAGTTTAGTTATTTGGCTTTAGATGGTTTTAATGCTTCTGATAGTGTTTTTTCCCTTAGCTTTATCTGTATAAATTTTTATTTTATGACAGTTCCAAACATTTTAGTATTTTTTTTTTAAATAACAAACATTTATTGGTGTGACTTATGGTAGAAAAACGTTCCTACACGAGATGTGCATGACCAAATCATTAAATAGAACATTTCTGAGGTGAACACACATCCTCACCCACGTTTTTATATCCAGTTTTTAAGATAGCCAATTCCTCCTCTCTCTCCACCCCAAAACATGTGAGCAACTGCTAATTGAAAGCAGTAAACAGCCACTTGGGCTATAGCATTTTCAACTCCACTCTGAGGTGAAGATTCCAAGTACATTCGAGACTTAAGTTCTCTCAATTGTCTCCAAATGAAAGGTCCTGAGTCCAGTATTTACAATATTACAGCACTAGCAGACCATTGTCTACAACTCTTCTCTTTCTGCTGTATCCTCTTCACCAGTCCGGGGAGGGTCTGCACTTCCATAGAGTTTGCTGATAATTGGCTGAACAATTTCTTCTAGTTCCTTCTGTTTAGCTTTGAAGTCTTCAATGTCAACATCTTGGTGGCTTTCAAGCCATTCAATCTTTTCCTCTGCAGCATTTTCAATGGTCTCATTATCTTCAGAGGAAACTTTGCCTCCCAACTTTTCTTTATCTCCAATCTGATACTTTAGAGAGTAGCATAGCTTTCAAACTCATTCCTAGTATCAATGCACTCCTTGAGTCTTTTGTCTTCCTCAGCAAACTTCTCATCAATTTCTTCAGTTGTCAGTGGATTTTGGTCATTGGTAATTGTAATCTTAATTTTGTTCCCTATACACTTGTCTTCAGCTGTCACCCAAAGAATACCATTCACATCTATCTCAAAAGTGACTTCAATCTGAGGGACCCCTGAGGAGCAGGAGGAATTCCAGTGAGATAAAATGTACTCAGAAGATGGGTGTCTTTTGTCAGGGGATATTTACCTTCATAGACCTTGATTGGAACAGTAAGTTGATTATCAGAAGGTGTAGAAAAGATCTCAGACTTCTTGGAGGGTACCACATTGTTCCTTGGTATCAGCTTGGTCATGACACCTCCCATAGTTCCAATTCCAAGTGTCAGGGGACATACTACAAACAGTACTAGGTCACCTGTATCTTGATCACTGGAGAGTACACCAGCCTGGAGAGTGGCACCATATACATCAGCCTCATCTGGGTTTATGCCACAGGATGGCTCCTTGCCATTGAAGAACTCTTTAACAAGTTGCAGAATCTTTGGAATTTGAGTAGAGCCACACACAAGAACAATCTCATCAACATCAGACTTCTTCAAGTCAGAATCCTCCAGTACTTACTGAACAGGCTTCATGGTAGACCGAAACAGGTCCATGTTTACCTCTTCAAATTTTGCCCAAGTCAGAGTTTCAGAAAAGTCTTCTCCTTCATAGAATGACTCAATTTGAATTCTTGCTTGATGTTGAGAAGACAGGGCCCGCTGGGCCTTTTCTACTTCATGTCAGAGTTTCTGGGTAGCTCTGTTGTCTTTCCTAACATCTTTGCCAGTCTTCTTTTTGTACAGTTTGATCCATAACATGCTGGTTGAAGTCTTCTCCACCCCATGAGTATCAGTATTAGTGACCATGACTTCAAAGACACCATTGTCAATGGTGAGAAGAAGCACATCAAAGGTTCCACCACCCAGATCAAACACCAGGATGTTCTTCTCTCCCTCCCTCTTATCCAGGCCATAAGTAATAGCAGCTGCTGTAGGCTCATTGATGATCCACATAACATTCAGGACAGCAATAGTTCTAGCATCTTTGGTTGCTTGCTGCTGGGCATCATTAAAATACTCTGGTACAGTAACAACTGCATGGATAAAATTCTTTCCCAAATAAGCCTCAGCAATCTCTTTCATTTTAGTAAGAACCATAGCAGAAATTTCTTATGGAGCAAATATCTTAGTTTTCCCACCTCCAATATCAACCTGAATGTATGGTTTAGTTTTTTTTTTTTTTCAACCACCTTGAAAGGCAAGAACTTGATGTCTTTCTTGCTGCACAGACAGGTCATTCAAAGACTGTGTTCTCAGGATTAAAAATGAGCTGATTCTTGGATGCATCACTAATCAGACATTCCCCTACAGGCATGAAGGTCACATAAGATGGCATGATGAGGTTGCCCTGATCATTGGAGATGATCTCCACGTGGCCATTCTTGAACACCCCGATGCAGCAATTAGTGGTCCCCAGGTCGATGCCAACCACAGTACCCACATCCTCTTTCTTGTCCTCATCCTCAGCCAGGGCTGCTGTGCAGCACCCCAGCTACCAGAGAGAGCTTCATCTTGCCATAGCTGTGGGCCACTTGCTATGGGTCAGCAACCAGGGAAGCAGACAGCCAGAAGACACAGGCAATCCAGCAACAGGCCGCAGCTAAGAGCAGTGAGGTTACGGGTCTGTCACACTGAGACACCTCAACTCTGTCCATCTGTGTTGTCTCTGCCAATGTATCAAACTTTTTAGTATTGAAGTGCATTTTATTTCTACAATTGTATTGACTACCATATGTAAAAATTGTCAAGTAGTTAAATATTGATTCACAAGCATTTTGGCCACTATGTAAATATTAAAAAGTTAAGTGAATTGCCAATGCTTCCATACATACTATAACAACACAAGTGGTCAACGATGCACTAGAACATTATGTGGGAAGAAATATATTCATACCAAATCAAGATTTTTCAGGTACTTGCATTCAGAAGCATTTTATGAATCAGCACCAGATTTGCTCCAAAATAAAACTCATTTTCACCTAATGCCCCTATTTGTTGAGAACAATACTATACATTAAGGATGCATTTACATGGATTATTTTATAGAGAAAATTATTTGAAATTTAAAATTATAAAACTTATTTTATGCAGAACTTCAAAAACACAGAATTTAAAGACCATACCAGTGAGGCACTATCATTCTATATGACTAAATCACTACCATTCTATATGACTAGCAAACACAATACAAGGCCAAAAGGCAAAATACACACTTTGGCCATCCTATACAAAAGGGTTCTGTCACAACATTCTTTCCTATAATAAACACAATACCAAAAAATGAAACAAGAAAAAGAAAAACTGAATTTTGACAACCCTACACAAACTGTGGCATTTCAAATTCAAGGTCTTTTAACTCTTCCATTTTTTTTAGCCTGAGTCCTTGGCACATTGGATTCATGTCAGGCAGGCCAACCTCCTCACAGGTCTCTGTAGGCTCAGCAGCTGGCTTCAAAACATAAGCTGATGTGTTGTCTGCCTCTGGAACAGATTTCTCCACATGACTCAGGAGAATAAGAGCTGTGCTAGGAGGCACTGCTGCTGAAGGTGAAGCTGGTCTCTCCTCAGTCCCCCTGACTTTGCTGGTCAGAGTAGGTGGTTTGTAAAATGTTGTCCCAAGATGGCTCTGCAATATTCTGGGTGCTCTTGCAGGAGCAAGATGGTGAGAATGAGAGGAACGTCTCTCTGATGCCTCTCTTGCTGAACTGGCTGGCATGTTGGGCTGTGTGGCATCGCAGGAATGGTCACCACTAACCCTGAAGCTCATTGTGACTTTTTCCTGGAGTGCACTTGGCACAATCACTGCACTCATGCCAGTTAAGTTCTTTGGTTCACATTGTTGTGCCTGAGTTTTTTGTGGAATCTGCTGATCAAAGCCATTAAATTGGAAACCAGCAGTAGTAGGGGTATCTTTTCTATTAAGTACTTCAAAAGTAAGATTCTGGCAAAACTTGTCTGAATTCACATTTCCCACATTTCTGCTGTTTCTCTCATTAGGAGAGCTTTCAATATGGAACCTATCTGTAGGCAAATGGAAATGTCTGATCTTGGTGCTTGGCATAGGCCTCTGTATATCATTTGTTGCCACATCAGATATCAGACTAAGTGGTTTTGTGGTTTTACACATATCATCCATGTTTTGGGATGATGATTCAAGTTATTTGTTATCTGAAAAAGAAGAGATTTTTTTAACTTCATGGAGCTTGGTTAATAAGGAAGTGTGGTTATTTATAAATGGGCACTCTCTCAAAAAAATATAGTCTTACATGTTTTTTCCTACATGATATTCTCAGCCATCTATGCAGAGGAATTAAAAATCCATACAGTATTAAAGGCACATTTTGAATTAAAGCATTACTTTTTAAAAAATTATCTAAATCAATAGAACAATTAGCTACAAAGCACATAAAATTAAAAAAAAAACCACTTCCTGAAGTAACTTGTTTTAATTTGCTACCCATGAATGATTATTTTCTGGGTTAGAACATTCCTGATTTCAATAGGCAGACAATGGTAACTCTACAACAGTAACACTATTCTGTACACCAACCAAAGCCATGTCCTGAACCCCAGGGAGTTTTCCTGTCGATCAATCTGCTTCCCAGATACATTCTGTCTATACTGAGGCAACACACAAGAGAGGACTTGGAATCTCTTCCAGCTGATCCACTAATACATGGCAAGATCCTCTGGACAAAAGAAGGTTGAAGAGCTGTCTAAATTGCCATTGTGCTACTGGTCCTGAAGACTCCAGATTTAACTCCTTCTCTTTCTCCTCTAGTCTGGACCTAAAGTCCCTGTTTTCTCACCTAGAACCCTAGGTCCTCACACTCTGTCTTGGCTGAATGTACCCCAGAAGCTCCTGTTACTAGAAAGGTGCAGCCCTCTGGCCATGATCCTCATTTCCCTCCTGGGAAACATCAGACAACTGTGTGCCTTGCCAGTGGCCTGACAGCTTTCCAATGGCCCTGTTCATAGCCCACAGTCCTCATCCCTGCCACCTTGTCCTTCTACCACATCCTTGGGCAGTGGTTTGCAGACAGGTGCACACAAGCACCACTTAAAGGTCATCATCTCATCTGACCTTCGTCTTCAACTGAGGCTGCTGGCCTCTCTTCTCTGGTTCCCAGGCAGTGCTCATATGATTTGCTGCGCTGGGCCCTTCTCAACATTGATAGAAGGGAGCTGAGCCATTGTGGTTGGATGGTAAACACCAGAACATATTTACATTCCTGCAGAGCTTCTAGCACCATGAAGAGTGCAGGCTCTGCAGCCAGCTGCCTGGGTGCTGGCTCAGCTCCTGCTCTAGTTCTGCCATGGGCAAATCTAGTGCACTAGCCCTACCTGCCTTCTTATGTCAAGACTGACTCCTATGTGGAGATATGTTGGCATGTGGTGTTAATGATCTTCTAAAGAAAAGGCTCAGAATTACCTGGTATGTAATGAAAACTTCAAATATTTTAAAATTATTTATTTTTATTACTATACCTACCTGGAAATTCAATTTTCTTGGACAGCAGCGAAACAAGGTTACATTTAGGAATGAGACAAGATAAGGTTCAAATCCTAAATCAACAATAATTTAGGGATATGACATTTGGCATTATTTACCTTCCTGAGACTGTTAGCTATGGCTTAAATGATGCCAAGGTTCATAGCACTGAATTGCTAATAAGATCAAATTAGATAAATGGAATCAGTGAGTTCAGTGCTTTTCTTTGCAGAGGTAATGGACTGTCTTTGTTTTCAAACTTTCTCAGGCTACACTCATTGATATTTCATTAATTTAATATATCAATTTTAACATACATTGCTATATGTTGAAAAATTTGGATTTAGCTCTACTAAAACAGTAATGAATGAAAGGTTTTCAATCCCCTTAGCAGAAACCATCCACCAAAATAAAATGATCAAAAAAACAGTGAACAAAAAGACTGGATCCAAGAAAATGGAAAACATGTGTGCTTAATGTGCTAAAGTTAGGCCACAGGTAAAGGGACATCAAAAAACTTTAGGAGTCTATTTTTTTGAGTTTCAGAAGTACAGCTTTTTTCTCCTTTGACTTTAATTGATGGCAAAAAAGTAAAGGTGAAAACAAATTTCAGAAAGAGAACAGAAATAATTTATGAATTTCAAAATATCTTTCACAAGAAAAAAACAAAGCATGATATTCATTTAAATGACATTCATTAAACTTTCTCAATTGCTAGCCAGGTTAACTAATAAAACCTTGAAGTTTGAACCAACCTCAACTTAATTTACCTTTTTTTTTAAAGAATGAGAATTGTAGGTGGACACAATATTTTTATCTTTATTTATTTGTTTTTATATGGTTTTGAGGATCCAACTCATGGCCTCACACATGCTGAAGCAAGCGTTTTGCCACTACAAGCCCAACCCTCACCTTGGTTTTTAATCATGACTTCTTGGCAAGGTTTGAAATATGCAAAAATATATGTTACATGACAACTCACCAATGAGTCATGCATCCCATTTTTCCAACGCAATTTGTTTGCATTCTGATTCCTCAAATGATGTAGTCAATTCAAATTTTTCAATTTCATTATCTGCAGTGTGGATATCCTATTGATACAAGAAAAGTTTTAAACTGAAAGCAAAACACATCTCAAAACTAACAGTTCAAAGACTATTAACTTGTTAACATAAACATCACAAATATAATGCAATTCTATAATTGTCAAAACTCACTTGCTTTGTAGAAAAATATTGTGACTTTGTGGAATGTTCTGTTGATATTACAGGTTTGGGAGGAGGGCTTTTACCCACTTGAGGTTCAACAACATAAGTACTACATGGAACATTTTGTGGCTCTAGGGACACATCAAAGATCATCTGTGCATTGGTAATGAGGAACTCTACCAACAGGGCCTGATTGGCATATGCAGCAAGGGAGGAGGAGATGGTACCAGGTGTGGTTGTAGGCCTGGGCCTCATGAGACAAGGTCCGAATATCACCCCCAAGTTTTTTGAGTTCATCAGGTTTTCTTTAGAATTGTCTACAACCCTGAAAAGAAGAACACATAAAGTGTATGAGGTTTGCCTAATAGAGGTCCTTAATGGTAGTTTACTATGAATTGAGAAGGGTCAAGAATAATCAGGCTGTAGAAGACTACAAAGGGTTTGTCTAGGGTCAAGTTTGGGGGTCTAGGGAAAGAATTCTTTGTTTCATTATCATACTTACCACACACCAAACTGAGTTTCAGAGTACTATGTTAGGATAAAATGCATGTAAGTAGAAGGAACTACTGAACTCTTAGTAGCAGAAGGAAGAAAAATACCCCTATATATTGCTCAATCTTTGTATGTGGGATATACTCCCCATTTCTTATACTGGAAACTGAAACAGCACTGTCAATTTCTCCCTCACTTCCCAGTTAGTTTTCTTTTTTTTTTAAATAATTTTTACCCAGAGATGGACACATACCTTTATTTTATTTATTTATTTTTATGCAGTGGTGAGTATCAAACCCAGTGTCTAATATGTGCTAGGCAAGTGTTCTTCAATTTGCCACACTCCCAGCCACCACAGTTAGTTTTCTAGCCTAGATGACTCTTTCTCATGAATATCTCTCTATTCTATGACCACCATCAATGTTCTGGTTTTACTTCAAACACTCTCAGCTTGTTATTTCTATGACTATCCAAGGAAATCTGTCTCTGCCTTTTTAAGCTATCAGGATGATACTAGCCTTATTTATGGGTAAAGAAGCTGTGAGATTGATATATATATATATATATATATATATATATATATATAGTGAATGTGGTAGTTTTGCTATTTGTATTTCAGAGAATTCATCACTGATGTATAGAAATGCATTTGATTTGATTTATGGGTATTGATTTTATATCCTGCTACTTTGCCAAATTCATTTATTATTCTAGAAGTTTTCTCGTGGAGTTTTTTGGATCCTCTAACTATAAAATTATATCATTGGCAAAGAATGATAGTTTGAGTTCTTCTTTTCCTATTCGTATTCCTTTGAATTTCTTTCATCTAATTGCTCTGGCTAGAGAGGCAAGGATTATGTTGAACAATTTTTAGATGGAATGCTTCCAATTTTTCTTCATTTAGAATGATGTTAGCCTTAGGTTTAGCATAGAGAGCTTTTACCAAGTTGAGGTATGTTCCTACTACCCATACTTTTTTTTTAATGTTTTGAACATGAAAAGATTCTGTTTTTTTTTGTCAAACTCTTTCTCTGCATCAATTGATATTACCATAGGATTCTTCTTTTTAAGTTTATTGGTGTGATGAATTAAATTTATTGATTTCTGTACATGGAACCAACCTTGCAACCCTGGAATACACAACTTGATCATGGTGAATTGTTTGTTTCATATATTTTTGTATGTGATTTGCCAGAATTTTATTGAGAATTTTTGCATCTATGTTCATTGGGGATATGGATCTGAAATTTTCTTTCCTTGATGTGTGTCTGGCTGGTTTGGGTATTATGGTGATACTAGCTTCACAGAATGAGTTTGGAAGGTTTCCTCCTTTTCTATTTTATGGAATAATTTGAGGCCTTCAACAGATGAATAGATAAAAAACGTTGGTATATATACACAATGGACTCTTACTCAGCATTACAAGAGAATAAAATAATGGCATTTACAGGTAAATGGATGGAGTTGGTGAATACCATGAAATCAGCCAATCCCCCCAAACCAAAAGCCAAATATTCTCTCTGATAAATAAATGCTGATCCATAATTGGGTGTTTGGTGCTGGAGGAACATTGATTGGCCACAGGGGAGGGAAGGAAGAGGAGGGGTATGTGGTAGGAAAGATGGTGGAATGAGACAAACATCATTACCCTAGGTACATGTAAGATGGCACATGAGATGTGACTCTACATCATGAACAGAGAAATGAAAATTTCTGCTCCATTTGTGTACAATGGATTAAAAACATTCTACTGTCATGTATAAGTGATTCAAACTAAAAAATATATATTTTTTAAATTTTTATTTTATTTATTTATTTTTATGTGGTGCTGAGCTTCGAACCCAGGGCTTTGCACATGCTCTACCTCTGAGCCAAAACTCCAGCCCTCCCAAAATAAATTTAAACAAAATGTTAAAAAGGAGATCTGAATTGCTGTCAGAAAGGTCTAGCAGGCAAATCTGAATATGTAAAATTTCTGATGCCAAGTTCTTTAGTGAGTACAGAAACAATATGGTCAACTCATCTGCCAGGTAGGTAAGATTTTCTTATCAGGCTTCTAGGAAGGGTAGCACAGTTCCTGCTACTGCTTGCTATATTGTATCCTAATAAAATCAAATTTTCCAAATGCAAAATGATTTCTTGTGTCTCCATGTCTGTTACCCTCTGCCTAGTATGCTGTTCTGCACATTCTCTACCAAATCATCACACAGTTCTTAAAGTTGAACTCAAGGGCTTTTGCCTCTTCTGCTCTATCCCTACCCCCAAAACTTTCTATGCATGCCTGCAAGCTGTGCACAGCTAAAAGTAAACAGATGATGATATACTGTGGTTATATACAGGTCTGTTCCCCAAGATGATGAGCCCACAAATAGTAGAAACCCTGTGTTTTCATCCTAGTTTCCCCAGCCAGAGCCTGGCACACAGGAGGCATCTGAGAGAACCATGTTTGCTGCATGAACATATATTCAATGTCTCCCTTTCCCAACACATAATAAAAACATCCTAAAAATCATTTTGAAAATTATACCACAACAATATAAATGTACTGAATACTATTGCCCTGTACAATTAAAAATGGTTAAGATGGTATAAAAATTCTTACCACTTAAGATGGACGACAAGGTATTGTAGAGTGTTAAAACTGGATGGTGGCAATTGTCTTAGAAGGTCCTTGGTTTTGAGAAGAATTTGGTTGATTTCCATACACATATTTCGGTATGTGTTGTCTTCATAGTTGTCCCTTTTTGTGTCCTGTTCTTGGTTAATCTGTTGAATGACATTTGCAAGCTCCATAAATTCCTGGTACCATTGGAATAAAACCAATGGTTCTGGTAGCTAAAGAAATAAAATTATATTAAAAATACCTTTGGGCTGCAGTTGTGGCTCAGAGGTAGAGCACTTGCCTAGCACATGCGTGGACCTGGGTTTCATCCTCAGCAGCACATAAAAATTAATAAATAAAATAAAGGCATTGCATCCTGCTGCAACCAAAAAATAAATATTTTGGAAAAATCTAACTGTTTTTTTTTTTTCTTATAGTCAACTGTGAGAGTTACTCAAATAATTTAGCATGTCCCTTTAGATTAACAAAATCTAAAGACAATCTGTATTTATTTATTTCTTTTTCAGTACTGGGGATTGAACGTAGGACTTCAAGCATGATAGGCAAGCACTCTAGTACTGAGCTTCATCCCTTCCCATAAAATATATGTGTTTGGTAGGGAATTGACTTAGAAAGCAAATCAAAATCTTGACTATAAATTTTATTTATGGTAGTAACAAATTAATAGATAATGAGTGAAATTCTAAACTTTAAATGAATTTTAAACTTTAAGCTTCATGATAGGATTTTAAAAGTCTTCATCTTTATCCTAAACATATTTTACTCACATCTGACCCCAAAATAGCATGATCTTCAGCTGTTTTACTGGAAAAAAAAATAGTATAGTGCACAAAATCAATAAAATGAATCAGAAAAGGCATGGATTTTATGAGTACGGGGTAAAAATATCAAAGTGCTACAGGGCCCAGATTTTACTTGGGCATGAATGAAGATCAGCACAAGATAATATGACCTACAAAAACATACTGTCAACATCTCATGAATCTTTAAAACAGGCTGATTTGCCATGAATAGATCAAAAGAAAAAGTTCTTACAACAAATATCCACTGCCATAAGAATTTCAATGTTTCTACTGATCTACAATAGAAAATTCAGTGAACCTTTAGCTACCTGATGTCCTATAATATCTGTGGCAATTTAGGGTGTTGCCCTGTGACCAGTTTCTATCTTCACCACTCTGATATCTGAAGCAAGTCACTTTACCTCTTGGAGCTTTAGGTCAATGAGTCAAATAAAGGCTACTCTCTGACACTATTGCAAGAACTGAGCACACTTGCCCAAATGAAAGTCTTAGACATACAAAATTTCTCAACAGAATGCAAGTTTATTATATTGAATACTATTCATCTCTTCTCCCTGACTGACTAAACAAGATTAAGGATGACACATTATGAGACTTACAGTCATTCAAGTGTATCAACCTCCATTTCTCAGTTGAGGTGTCTGTAAAATGTGATTAAAGAGTTATCAATGCTTTCCTGGGCTAACATTGTAGATCCAGCAATTTATACTTAATTTCTTTCCCTCCTGCAACCCACTAAGATACTGTATGCTCATAAGGACTAGGAAAATAGAGAAAACAAAAAGCAACAAAATTCACAAGTAGAAGAGCAGATGAACAAGTCCTGATGCAGCATTTACAAGAGAGTTGACCCTTTGTCACTCAACATGATTTTCAGAATCCTAGAGGGACATGGACAATCACTACCAGGTTTAGGTTAGGTTGATCTTGGGTTAGGTTGCAGGTAGGCTAGCTGAGAAAGCTTAGCTCTCTATAGAATCCTGTCTCTACTCCATGTACTAGAGCAATCTCCTTCCTAAAACTCTGGAAATTTTTTTTCTCTGAGCAATGTGATACAGAGGCTCTCTGAATTGAGGCAATGCCAAACATAAGGCACAGAGAGGTAATTGTCTTCCAATGGAGATTTGTTGGGTATATGCACACTGAAAACACAGATCCTACAGTCATCTTAGGCACCCTGTCTCCCACAGTATTGGAACTGTATCTCTAGGCAAGGAAAAAACCGTTTCCTGGGGAACTGGGGCTGTGGCTCAGTGGTAGTGCAATCATCTGGCATGTGTGAGGCACTAGGGTTGATGCTCAACGCCACATAAAAATAAATAAATAAACTAAAGATATTGTGTCCATCTACAACTAAAAAAAAATGCCTTCCTGGAAGGATCACACCAGTGCCAGAACAGGGAACTAGAGACATGTAGTTAGGCATATACCAAACAGTCCACCTAGACCACTTTGTAGTAAAGTTCAAAGTTTTTAAAAAGCCTTGATGTATTCAAGTGCTTCCAAAGCGATTTCATGTCCAAACTTTAACATAACTAGACACCATGAAAGACAAAAATCAAAACGGTTAGAAAAAGGACAAATTGAAGGTCTAAAACAATGCTGTCAATATTCTGGCAACCAGTCAGATATGGTGAAAGAGTACTGGAAATGCAACTGATCAAAATTGAGATGTGCTCTAAATGAAAAATAGATACCAGATTTAAAAGAAGAAGAGCTGCAATACAAATAAATAAATAAATAAAGTACCTCATAATTTAAAACACTAGATATTCAAAATGTTAAACGATATATTAAAATTTACTTCACCTAATTTTTAAATTTTATGTTGCTATAAAAATCTTAATGTTATATATGAGGGTGACATTGTATTTCTACAGAGGTTAGAGGCTAAATAGAGAAAAGAACACTTAATGAGAAAAATCGATGAATATCCACAATAAAAAGCATAATATAATCTTTTAAAAATGTTATCAAAGGAATAGAAAATCAGACTTCTTGAAAATTAAAACATGATCTCACACGTGGAATAATTTATATTAGTCAAGAAGAAAAAGACAAGAAAATGTCTTAGAAAGGTTTTGAAGAAAAAAAGAACAATACAGGAAAGGTAAGGGAAGTAGAGAACATGTATGCTTGCCAAGCAAGCGAAAGACCCTGAATTTTTAATTCCCAGGATTACAAAAAACAAATTTATAAATATTTATATGTGTGTTGTGAATGTGCACACACACACACACACACACACACATATCCAAACAAGAGCTTCAAGTACAAATTACAAAGACAGAGCGTGGGTGGGAAAATGGGCAATAAAAATCAAGAAAAGTTCCAAGAACTAAAGTGCTCATAACTGACAGAGTTCATGGACTGACCAGAATACTGGATTGAAATGTATCCACATCAAAGTACATCATTATAAAATCTTAGAATAATTGGGGGATCAATATTTATATGAAATATAAAATATTTTGTTCTCTTTTTATTTGATGATAGGTTTAGAATAAAAATTTAACCTGTTAAAGGTGTAATTTTAACACTTCAGAGATGTTATGTGAAGTAAATTGGGACAGATCTACTAAATGCCTACTGTTTTCCAAAGCTTGACATAGTCTTGCCATTTTTGCCTTGTTGCCACTGACATGATAAATTCACTTGAAGAGAAAAGAAAAACAGTATGCAATATTTTACTTTAGTACAAAGGGCTAAATACAGACATCTAAACAGAGTTGATGGATCTACTTCAATTTTTATTGGTATTTAAAAAAAATACAAGTTTAATCAAATAAATAAACATTTTCCAAATAAATATGAATAAATTCAGTTATTTCAAAGGGAGAGTGCTGATTTTCTTAAAGTCCCTTTTTCATTAAAACAAATCAAAAAGGCATTTATGTTTTTAGAGGGTTAAGAGTTAACAACATACTTCTAAACACAAGGCTGTCTTTTCAATCTCTGTAGAACACATTTTTATTATGAAAACAATGCCATCTGGCTCCTTTTTGGCAATGCGTGAGAATTCTGCTCTAAATAAGTGAGTTTTCCCCTGAAGTTTCTGATGTCCGCAAACAATGGCTAAGTTTACCATGCATTTTTTATAGCAGACAAGAAGACACTAAAAGAAAATTTTTTTTGAAAGATGATTGACACACCTTAAAATTATTCACAACTAAGCAAAGTACAGGGAGACTAATAATGACAAAAATAAGTTAAAAAGTACTACTTGTGGTTTTGAATTACATTTAACAGCAAAACAAAGTAGAAAACTAGAAATAGACCTGTGGGACTTTATTAAAAATGTACTGGCAGAGCCAGGTGTGATGGCATATGCCTATGATTCCAGCTACTTGAGTGGTTGAAACAGGAAGATCACAAGTTGAGGGCCAGCCCAATCTAGCAAGACCCCATTTCAAAACACAATTTTAAGAATGGGTAGAGTGTTTGTGGGGCATGTGCAAGACCCTGAATTTAGTTCTCAGGAGTACAAACAATAAGTTTATATATGTGTGTGTGTGTGTGTGTGTGTGTGTTTGTGTGTATGCACACACACATGTCTCCAAATAAGTAAGATCATAACAAAAAAAGTATATAGCAAAATTAAAAATTGTGATTCCAAAAAGATCTTACCACTTTGCATTTAACACCTCGGAATATGACAATGCATTCACAGTATCTACATCTTGCAGGAGATCTCCATTTTCTGAACTTATGGGTGGCAGCTGCTTTTGCCATTAATGGTTGCTGAAATGTTCCAAGGGAACTGGGTCCTTACAACAGAAATGTTAGTATGTAAGAACGGTAAAATGAAAAAAAAAAAACATATAACACATGATATTATACTTGGAATAATTTTTAGACTTTGAGATTTTTTTATATATTACAAAAAGCTATTATTTTGCATTTCTAGCATGAAAAATCTCATTTACTGATCTCTTATAAAACACACATTTTTTTCAAAATATTTACTTATGACAGTGGAATGTATTACAATTCATATTACACATATAGAGCATAATAGTTCACATCTCTGCTCATATACAAAGTATATTCATACCAATTTTTGCCTCCATACATGTATTTGGCACAATGATGACCATCTCATTCCACCATGATCTCTAACTCCATTTTCTCTCCCTTCCCCTGCCACCCCTCTGCTCTAGAGTTGGTCTATGCCTCCCTTGTTCTCCCCTCCCTACCCCACGATGAATCAGTCTCCTTATATCAGAGAGAACATTTGGCATTTGTTTCTTTGGGATTGCTTAACTTCACTGAGCATTATCTTCTCCAGCACCATCCATTTATCTGCAAATGCCATGATTTTATTCTCCTTTATTGATGAGTATATAGGATTTTGGAAGAACCCTGCATGTTTTTATGCAGAAATTAACAAGTTGATTCTAAAATTTATATGCAAATGTTAAAGATATGGAAGAGTCAAAGAAATTTTAGAGAATTTAGACTGCTTAAGATTCACTTTAGACCTACAGGATTCAAGATTTGAGATATTGGCCTAGAAAGAGACATGCAAATCAACAGAATAAAATAGATTCCAAAAGTAGACTCTCATGTATTTAGTGAAGCTATTTCTTTTTTAAAAAAATTTATTTTATTTTTTAAAAATACTTGACAACTGGAATGCTTTTCAATTCTTATTACACATATAGAGCACATTTTTTGTATCTCTGGATATTAAGTATGTTCATGTCAGTTTATGCCATTACACATGTACAATATTTTTTTGCATTACAATTCTTAATACACATATAAACAATATTTTTCATATCTCTGTTTGTAAATAAGCTATGATGACACCCATTTCAAGTCTTCATATATGTACTTTGTATAATGATGTCCATCACATTCCACCATCCTTGCTATTCCCCTTACCCCTCCCTTTCCCTTCCACCCCTCTTCGCTATCTAGAATTAATCTCATCCTCCCATGCTCTCCCTTTCTACCCAACTATGAGTCACTCCTCTTATATCAGAAAAAAACATTCATCATTTGTCTTTTGGGGATTGGCTGACTTCACTTAGCATTATCTTCTCCAAAGCCATCCATTTACCTGCAAATGCCATGATTTTGTTCTTTTTAAATGCTGAGTAATATTCCATTGTGTATAAATGCCACTTTTTTTTTATCCATTCATTGATTGAAGGACATCTAGGTTGGCTCCACAGTTTAGCTATTGTGAATTGTGCTGCTATAAACATTGATGTGGCTGTGTCCCTGTAATATGCTGTTTTTAAGTCCTTTGGGTAAAGTGCAAGAGGAGGAATAGCTGGGTCAAATGGTGGTTCCATTCCCAGATTTCCAAGGAATCTCCATACTGATTTCTCAACTGGCTCCACCAATTTGCAGTCCTACCAGCAATGTATGAGTTTACGTTTTTCCCCCATATCCTCACCAACACTTGTTGTTGTTTTTCTTCATAAGAGCTTCCATTCTGACTGGAGTGAGATGATCTCTTAGAGTAGTTTTGATTTGCATTTCTCTGCTTTCTAGAGGTGATGAGCATGTTTTCATATATTTGTTGATTGATTTTATATCCTCTTCTGAGAAGTGTCAGTTCAGATCCTTGGCCCATTTATTGATTATTTGTTTTTTTGGTGCTTAGCTTCTTGAGGTGTTTATATACCCTAGAGATTTGTGCTCTATCTGATGTGTGAGGGGTAAAAATTTTCTCCCAGGATGTAGGCTCTCTGTTCACCTCACAGATTGTTTCTTTTGCTGAGAATAAAAATTTTAGTTTGAATCCATCCCATTTATTGATTCTTCCTTTTAATTATTGTGCTATAGGAGTCTTATTAAGGAATTTGGATCCTAATCCCACATGATGAGGATTAGGGTCTTGTTTTTCTTCTATTAGACACAGAGTCTCTGGTTTAATTCCTAGGTCCTTGATCCATTTGAGTTAAGTTTTGTGCATGGTGAGAGATAGGGGTTCAATTTAATTTTGTTGCATATGGATTTCCAGTTTTCCCAGAACAATTTGTTGAAGATGCTCTCTTGTCTCCAGTGCATGTTTTTGGCACCTTTGTCTAATATAAGATAATTGAAATTTTGTGGGTAAGTCTCTGTGTCCTCTACTGTGTACCATTTGTCTACCAGCCTGTTTTGGTGCCCATACCATGCTGTTTTTGTTACTATTGCTCCGTAGTATAGTTTAAGGTCTGGTATATGGATACCACCTGCTTCATTCTTCCTGCTTAGAATTGCTTTAGCTATACTGTGTTCCTTATTTTTCATGAATTTCATGATTGCATTTTTCTATTTCTATGAGAAATACCATTGGGATTTGAATGGGAATTGTGTTGAACCTGTGTCATGCTTTTGGTAATATAATCATTTTGATACTTTTAATTCTGCCTATTCATAACAAGCAATCTTCTAAGGTCTTCTTTTTATTTTTCTCTTTAAGGTTCTGTAGTTTTCATTGTATAGTTCTTTCACATCTTTTGTTAAGTTGATTCTCAAGTATCTTATTTTTTTTTGAGGATATTGTGAATGGAATAGTTTTCCTCATTTCCTGCTAAGAGGATTTGTCACTGATACACAGAAATGCTTTTGATTTATGGGTTTTGATTTTGTATCCTGCTACTTTGTTGAATTCATTTACTATTTCTTGAAGTTTTATGGTGGAGTTTTTGGGGGTCTTCTATGTATAGAATTATATAATCAGCAAATAGTGCTAGTTTAAATTCTTCTTTTCCTATATTTATTCCTGTAATTTCTTTCTTCTGTCTAATTGATCTGGGCCAGTGTTTTAAGAACTATGTTGAATAGAAGTGGTCAGAGAGGGAATGCCTTACTTTTTACAGATTTTAGATGGAATGCTTTCAGTTGTTCTCCCTTTAGAATGATATTGGCCTGAGGCTTAGCATAGATAGCCTTTATAATGTTGAGATATGTTCCGGTTATCCCTAGTTTTTCTAGTGTTTTGAACATAAAGGGGTGCTGTCTTTTGTCAAATGCTTTTTTTTGCATCTATCAAGATGATTATATGATTCTTATCTGTAAGTCCATTCATATGATTCATTACATTTATTTGATTTCTGTATGATGAAACAACCTTACATCCCTGGGATCAATCCCACTTGATCATGGTGCACAATCTTTTGGATATGTTTTTATATTGGATTTGCCAGAATTTTATCAAGGATTTTTGCATCTATGTTCATTAGAGATATTGGTCTGAAGGTTTCTTTCTTTGAAGTGTCTGTGTCCAGTTTTGGAATCCAGATGATATTGGCCTCATAGAATGAGTTTGGAAGTACTCTCTCTTTTTTTCTATTTCCTGAGATACATTGAAGAATGTTGGTATTAGTTCTTCTTTAAAGTTCTTGTAGAACTCAGCTGTGTATACATCTGTTCCTTGGCTTTTCTTGGGTTGGTATTCTTTCGATGGCTTCTTCCATTTTTTCACAGGATACTGGTCTGTTTAAGTTGTGTATATCTTCCTGACACAATCTGGGCAGATCATATGACTAAAGGAATTTATCAATGCCTTCACTGTCTTCTATTTTATTAGAGGATAAGTTTTCCAAATAATTTCTAATTATCTTCTGTATTTCTGTAGGGTCTGTTGTGATATTGCCTTTTCATCACATATGCTGGTAATTTGAGTTCTCTCTCTTCTTCTCTTCATTAGCATGGCTAAGAGTCTGTCAATTTTATCTATTTTTTCAAAGAACCAACTTTTAGTTTTGTCAATTGTTTCAATTGTTTCTTTTGTTTTGATTTCATTGATTTCAGCTCTCATTTTAATTATTTGTTGCCTTATTTTTTGCTGCTGCTTTGTTCTTCTTTTTCTAGGGCTTTGAGGTGTAGTGTGAGGTCATTTATTTGTTGACTTTTTCTTCTTTTAAGGAATGAACTCCATGCAATGAATTTTTCTCTTAGTACTGCTTTCTTAGTGTCCCAGAGATTTTGATATGTTGTGTCTGTGTTCTCATTTACCTCTAAGAATTTTTTATTGTCTGCCTTGATGCCTTCTGTAACCCATTGCTCATTCAGCAACATAGTGTTCAGTCTCCATGTGATGTAGAATATTTAATGTTTAGTTTGTTTTTGATTTCCAATTTCATTCCATTATGATCTGATAAAATGCATGGAGGTACCTCTACTCCTTTGTATTTGCTAAAAGTTACCCTGTGAAATAGTATATGGTCTATTTTTGAGAAAAATCCATGGGCTGCTGAGCAGAAAGCATATCTGCTTGATGCTGGTTGATATATTTTATATATGTCAGTTAAGTCTAAGTTATTGTATTATTGAAATCTATAGTTTCTTTACTTAACTTTTGTTTGAAAGATCTGTCTAGTGGTGAGAGAGGTGGGTTAAAGACACCCAAAATTATTGTGCTGGGAGGTCAATTTGACTCTTGAACTTGAGAAGAGTTGTTTGATGAACATTTTTGCACCATTGTTTGTGGCATATATATTTATGATTGTTAAGTCTTGTTGGTCTATGGTTCCCTTGAACAGTATGTAATGTCCATCTTTATCCCTTTTGATTAGCTTTAGCTTGAAGTCTACTTTATTTGATATGAGTATGGAGACCCCTGCTTGCTTCCTCAGTCTATGTGAGTGGTATGATTTTCCCAACCTTTCACCTTCAGTCTGTGTATGTCTTTTCCTATCAAATGAGAATCCTGTAGGCAGCATATTCTTGGATCTTTTTAAAAAAAAATTAATCTGCTAGCCTATGTCTTTTGATTGGTGAGTTTCAGCCATTAACATTTAGGGTTACTATTGATATATGGTTTGCATTTCCAGCCATATTTGTATATTTTTGTTACCTAACTTGACTTGGTTTCCTCTTTGATTAGATTTTCATTTAGTGTACTACCTCCCTCTGCTGTTTTTCATTGTTGTTTTTTAATTCCTCTTCATGAAATATTTTGCCAAGGATGTTTTGTAGTGCTGACTTTCTAGGTGTAAATTATTTTAACTTTTGTTTATCATGGAATTTTTTCTCTCTTATTCAAATCTGAAGCTTAGTTTTTCTGGATACTATATTTTAGTTGGAACCCATTATCTTCCAGAGTTTGAAATATATTGTTCCAGGATCTTCTAGCTTTCAGGGACTGTATTAAAAAATCTGCCATTATCCTAATTGGTTTTCCCTTATATGTAATCTGATTCCTTTTTCTTGTGGCTTTTAAAATTCTCTCCTATTTCTGATTGTTGGGTATTTTCATTATAATGTGTCTTGGCATGGGTTTTTTTGTGATTTTGCATTTTCGGCACCCTGTAGGCTTCTTGGATTTGGATTTACATTTCATTCTTCATTTCTGAAAAGATTTCTGATATTATTTAATTGAACAGATTGTTCATTCCTTTGGTTTGGACCTGTGTGCCTTCCTCTATCCCAATAACTCTTAAATTTGGTGTTTTTATGCTATCCCATATTTCTTGGGTATTCTGCTTGTGATTTCTTATCATTTTTGCTCTGCTGCTACATTCTTTTCAAGATGATAGACTTTGTCTTCCTGGCCTGATGTCCTATCTTCTAAGTTGTCTACTCTGCTGGTGATGCTCTCATTTGTGTTTTTAATTTGGTTTATTATTTATTTCATTTCAAGGATTTCTTTCTTTCTTTCTTTTATACCTCAATCTCCCTGTAGAGGTCATCTTTTGTTTCTTGGATTTGTTTATGTAGCTCATTGTCAAAGTGATCTTTCAATGTCTGTATTTGTTGTCTAATGTCTTCTTTGAGATTCCAAAACATCTGAATAATGTTAATCTTGAACTGTTTCTCTGTCATTTTTTTCTGCTGTTTCTGATAATTCTTCTAATGATGTGTGTCTTCAATTGTTTCTGGTACTTTCTTCCCTTGTCTTTTCATTTTGCTGTCATTTCTTTCCTGCTCTGTGGGACGATGTTATTGCTTTTATCCTATAGATTTGTAGTGCTCTTTTATATTCCAAGATCCCTCCTTTGTGGGGAAGGACTATGTTGACAGTTCCCAATATCAAAAATACATCACCTATGTGTAAATTACTGCTATTAAGACATTTATACTTAGTCTCAGTGTCTAGTAATGTTGGATTCAATTATAATTTAAAATATAATCAGTAATTTCATAGAAGGTGTACATTTTCTGATGGGAAACAGAGAACTGGGGGTCAGGTGTCTGATGATATGTTAACGGGGAAAGATATGAGAGCAATGGGGTTAATAAAACTTAGGAAATTTGGAGGAGAACTCTAATCAAGAGTGTTAATAGCAGGAGTATAGACAACAGATAATTTAGGGGAGACGAGTACGTGGCAGGACAGTAGAATGCATAAAAACAAACACATATATGTATTTAGAAAATTAAAAGAAGTAAAAATTAGGAGGTTGAAAGAGGAAGAGAGAGAGGAAGAAAAACAAAAAGAAAAAGTAGAACAGAGAGAGAGAAATATAAAAGGGGGTCTTATGTAATTCCTCTTTATGATATTATTCTGGTGACTCAGTTCTTAAAGTTCTATTTCATACAAAGTTCTTGGTTGCACATATGTTGGAGTTGTGAGTACTAGAGGAGGAGGGGTAGAGGAGAAAGAAAGAGGATAAAATGGAAGAGAAGAAAACAAAAATCAAAACAAACAAATAACAAATTACTCTCAGAGTTCCATTTTCTTCTCTTCTCTTTCAGTAGGTGGAGTTGTCTATTCAAAGCTTGAGTCTCTGCCCTCAGGGTGGTGCAGGAAGTCCATCCTGAGATTCTTCAAAGTGAGCTGAGTGAGCAGCCGCTCCTGGTCTTCTGGGGAGGTGTGGCCAGGCACGCAGACCTGGGAGACAAGCAGCTTCCTCAGGTTCCTCATCTGGCCCAAGAAAGGAGCACAAGCAGCCAAGGTGGACGGTGCCCAGGTGCGGTGCACTTCCACCTTCTGGAAAGAGTCCAGCTGCAGTAGTATCAGGACATTCCTGGTGTGGTCAGTGGGTTTCTCAAAGATCTTTGGCCTCTTGCAACACAGGTGTACCAAGTCCCTTCTCTGTGTGACCCACAGGAACAAGTGAGCCTGGAATTCATCCAGGGGCCTCTCTGTTAGGCAGAAGTCTATGACTACCTTCAATGGTGGCTTAGCTGCCATTGCTGGACCATGTTTAATGTTTGATTCTTCTTCATGGCCTCTGATGAGCAGGCATTAACCATGGCTCCAGAACACGTCCTCCAGAAGTTCTGGGGAACATTCTGCAAATCCAGCATCTGCAGTTTCCACCTCCTGCGGGGATGAAATCAGAGTCTCAGCCCTGAGGCCCCTTCCTTCACCTCTCAGTTACTGCTCCCTGCTCCACTTCTTCCTTCTGTCTCACTCTTCTCTACACCTTTCCCCTCCAATCCAGCCTAGTGTCACCCCACTTCTATAGGCTGAGGAAGACGCAGGTATAGCCTCCATCATGGGTCACCATAGCTGCAACAAGCACCTCCACATCCAGAAGCCACTACCAGATGGGGCTCAGCAAGGCCAAGGCCTCTCCACCCCTCCTTGCTGGCAGAGTAGGAAACCCTTGGTCCACCCTTCAACATCCACTTTCCCTGGATCCATCAGTCATGGTCAGTTTCTTGGATCCCCAGTGTGTCCCCTTCCAGGCCACCTGGGAACCCCTTACCTGGGGCTATCCTGCTGGGCAAGCAACATGTCCAGCCCATCCAGTGCCACTTGGATCATGTCAAGCTGTGACTTTCTCAGGGCCCCCAGGGGCAGGCAGGTGAAGTGCCAGGCCTGCACCATTTTCTTAAGGACCTCAGTGTGTCCCCTGCTGAAAGCCTCCTCAAAGAGTGGTGGGAAGAGCTCTATGGGCAGGTCCTCCAGATCCAGGATAGCCCTATACTTGTTGCTCAGCAGGCTGCTTCCTGCCAGTTCCAGCACTATGGGTGGGGACTGGATGCTCATCCTGGGGAGTCTGAAAGAAGAAGAATCCTGTAAAATGGTTCAGTGAAAAGGCCACTATCCCATCCCTTGCCAGCCACTGGGAAGGGGGTACTGGGGAGTCTAAAAGCACATCTCACCCTTATGGGGGAAAGCCTTCTAATATTATTTTGTCCTTGTAAAAGTGGAATTGGAGTGTCATGTGACCTAAGGCAGGAGGCTCCTCAGTTTCAGCAACTATCATGGCTGGGAGAGGACACGTCCTCACATGGGTGACATTATTTTTAATTTTAAAAAATTAAATGAGCAATTGTAAAAGCATGTGCCCATGTTATAAAATACTTGGAAATTACAACAGAGTCTCATGGATATCTGTTACCCTTGTGAGATTCTGCCACCTTAGGGGGAGTTGAAGAGAACAAATAGATCAGAACAGAGTCTGTGAAGTGTTGCATGAGATAGTTTTAAGCTTTTGTTTAATTTGTTTAAACAAAAAATAAAATTACAAAACCATGTAGGCCTTAAGGTATAATTTTGGGGACTTGGGACTGGGTATTGAACTCAGGGCACTCAAGCACTGAGCCACATCTCCAGCCATATTTTGTATTTTAGTTAGATACAGGGCCTCCCTGAGTTGCTTAGGGCCTCACTGTTGCTGAGGCTGGCTTTGAACACCAATCCTCCTGCCTCCTCTGCCTACCAAGCAGATCGGATTACAGGCACATACCATCACACCTGGCAATAAAGTATCATTTTAAAGGCACACAAAGTAAATATCTTAAACAACAAAAAATAGAATTCTAATCAATTAGAATGATATGGAATTTCAATCATTCTCCTTGGTTAAGAAATATTAAAGCGGCTTTGGCTGAAGCTCAGTGGTGAAGGGGTCACCTAGCAAGTGTGAGGCCCTGGGTTTGATTCTCAGCAGCACATAAAATAAATAAATAATGGGCAGAGGATATAGCTCAGTTGGTAGGGTGCTTACCTTCCACACACAAAGCCCTGGCTTTATTTCCTAGTACCACCTAATACATTGATAGATTCATAAATGTATTGTGTCCCTCTCAACTTAAAAAAAAAGAAGAAGAAGATTTGGGCCTTTTGCAAATGCCTGTAATTCTAGCAGCTAGGAAAACTGATAGGAGGATCACAGTAGATTCAAGGCCAGCCTCAGAAGAGTAGGTGCTAAGCAACTCAGTGTGACCCTGTCTCTAAATAAAATACAAAATAGGCCTGGGAATGTGGCTGAGTGGTTGAGTGCCCTGAGTTCAGTCTCTGGAACAATACTTGAGAAAGAAAGAAAATTGAAAGCAACATAAACTAAAGTGGAAATCCTAATGTTCAGCATAAAGGTAAAATCACACTGAGAGGTAAAATCTAAATCTTAAATTGGTGCATAGGAAAAAAATAAAATAAAACAAAATTGTTCCTGCCTCCACACAGATGAGATGGGAATGGGGTAGTGCTCAGGGCGGTGATTGACTTATAGGATCTGAGCAGATGGGCCAGGCTGGGATCCTCAGCATGCCAGGGTTGGACTTCTGGGCTCCAGGACACTTGTGTTTCTCCTCTGGCTCTGAAGAAGCTTTTATTGACCTCCCTGACCACGCCCCCAACTCCACCTGTTGACTAGCATGCCATCAGAAAGCAGTATCTGATCACATTCCCAATCTCCACCCATGTAACCCTGACTGGATTTTCTTTCTCCAGATTAACTGATATAGTCAGATTTTCATGCATGAGCACAGAATCAGGGATAGTGAGGGTCAGGGATGCCTCTGTCCATGCACTCCACACCATGGACTGAATTTTGCCCATATGTTACCCTCCTGTTCCTGCCTGTGAGACAGAAATACCCTTAATCCATAAACTAAGAAAAACTAAAACTCCAAATTATCATTGTAAAGGAAACCTTGGCCATATCAAAATTATTTAAAAAATAATTTTAAAAAATTCCAGAGAGAAAACAGGTTTTTGAAGACAGTAGCATCACCTGTGAAGAAAACAGAATGGACACCAGATATCCAACTGCCAACAGTCACATAGGTATCCAGTTACCGTGCAGCATATCTAGGCCTACTCAGAGAGGAGGCATGGACAAGGAGGGTGGAATCAGTCTTCAAGGCTTAGAAAAAGACTTCTTCAGTTTGTCTCTTTGTACTGGGGATTAAACCCATTGGTGTTCTATCACAGAGCCAGATCCCTAGACCTTTCTATTCTTTTTTTTAATTTAAAGACAGGTTCTCACTGAATTGCTTAGTTTCTCACTAAGTTGCTGAGGCTGGCCTCAAACTTGCCATCCTCCTGCCACAGTCTCATTTTAATTTTTTAAAACAATGTAAGTACTGACATTATTTTCTTTTCCTTTGGCACTGGGGATGGAACCCAGGGGAGCTGTACCACTGAGCTACATCCCCAGCCCTTTTAATTTCATTTCAATTAACTAATTAAATTATTCATATTTGTAATTTTTGTACCAAGGATTGAACCAAGGGGCACTGTAACACTGAGCTACACTGCCAGATTATTTTATTTTTATTTCATTTTTTTTTAATTTTGAGACAGGTTCTTGCTAAATTGCTTAGACTGGCCTTTAATTTGATATCTTCTCGCCTTAGCCTCCTAAGTAGATGGGATAACAAGTGTTCACCATCACATCCCATTTAAAATTAAAAAATTTAAAAGGTACATCATTTGACTAGCATGTACAAGGCCCTAGGTTTGATCCATAGCACCAAAAAGAAACGAACCTGTAAATCCAAAACCTGTGTTCAAGTATACTTTTTAGAGGTTGTTTGTTTGTTTGTTTCCATGAATCTCATTGTAGTTACTTGTAGGAAAAAAAATCCAAATGGTAATTCATATGATAAACACTTAGAAGAGCTATGGTTAAAAATCTGTTGGTAATGTGCTGTAACCAGCAATTAACAAGGTGATTTGGTTGTTTTAATATAGTGTCCATAACTATGTCTGACAATATATTAGTTTTTTTAATGAATTTAGTGCAATTTTGAAGCAAATATTAATAAACAGCCAAATAATTATAACTTGAAAAAGTTATGTCTTATTTGACAGGGTTTCCCATCATATCAAATTAGGCTAATTGGGTTAATATCTCTCTTCTAGAAATCCCTTGAGAATTTCTGGAGCCCTCTGTAATATCTCAATGTTAGCTCAAGGTCAAGTGACAATGTAGAATTTGATCCTAGAGAAGTTAGTCAACAACCTCAAAAGGTTTAAAGCACTTAGTGAAAGTAGGGTCTTAGATCATTATAAAAGATAAGTCATTTAGCCAGAGTGATGAAATATTTTGAAAGCTAATACAGAAAGTTGTGTCCTAGAAAATAGTACTTCAACTTTTATCATAGATGACTAAGTTTTCCTTTTTTTCAAGTAATCAGAGACCTTGTTAAAACCAACCTAAAACTCCAGAGGCTAAAGGTCCAAAGCCAGCCTCAGTAAGAGCAAGGCACTACAAAGCAACTCAGTGAGACCCTATCTCTAAAGAAAAATACAAAATAGGACTGGGGATGGGGGTCAGTGGTCGAGTACCCCCCTGAGTTCACCAGTTTGTGCCTCACCCCACCCCCCAAATAAACCTAATCTGAAGCATAAAAAGTTACCTCCCCCCAGTACTGAGCATTGAACCAGGGGTACTCTACCACTAAGCCACATGCTGAGTCATTTTGGTTTTATTTTTAAATAGGCTTGACAAATTGCCAAGTCTCATCTGAATCTTGACATCCTCCTGCCTCAGCCTTCTGGGAAGCTGGAATTACACGCATGGCCCACTTCACCTGTCTTGAAATGCACTTCTTAGAGTGAAGCTCTCTGACAGCTGTTCATCTGGAACATTCACATGAAAGCCATCACAATTTTTAATTATCTTTGGTATCATTTGCCCACCAATTTCAAAATGTGGTTGAAAATGAACCATAATAGTCTCAGCTGGAGTGCAGAAGAAAGGCTCTCCTGGAGTTCCTTGGAATTTGTGGGTCCCATTCTGTGTTTTATTAATCTCTTGAGAACCAAAGATAAAATCTTATGATCTTATTTGGAAAGTCAGGGGTTTGGAAGAATTTCTTTTGGATAAGGTGGTGGTTTTGGCAGAGTCCTCCTGAAAGTTTCTTTGATCAAATTATCAAGCTTAAGGACCTTCTCCTGCATGATCCCTTGGCCTCCATTTTTGTCAGGTTTTTGTTACAAATAAATTCATTTTGATTTGCAGACTTTCACGGTAGCAGCATCAGCAGGGACACTGTGGTCATGGAATATTCTAAGCCGTGGTCAGTGTTGGCTTCCTTGAGTTTTGTAAATCTGAAGGCAATCATTTGGTACACACATGGCTGCTGGACTGTGTGTGTGTGTGTGTGTGTGTGTGTGTGTATGTTGGTATTGGGGATTGAACTTGAGGCATTTTACTACTGAGATGCATCCTTAACACATTTTCTTTTTTAATTTGAGAGAGGATCTCAGTATTGGAACCTTCAATCCTCCTGACTCAGCCTCCCAAGTTGCTGGGATTATAGGTGTGCATCTTGGTACATGGCCCTAGATCATTTAAAACCCTTGAGAGACTACATTGCACCAGTGGGCAAGTACCATACCTATAAGATGAATAATAGACTTGGACTGCAAAATTCCTCTGGATGAAGATTTCAGGGAACCCAGATTTATCCTGCTGAATATGTCAATGATGTAGGGTGTGCTCATTGATAAAAGGCTCTCATTTCTTCTTTAAAAACATTTAGATTTTTATCAGAAATATCACTTTTTACTAGTTAGGGCACAAGTGACTTCCTGATGAACAGCAGGACAAAGAGATCACTTATCCTCTGGAGTCCTCCTAGGCCAAATCTCTCTCAGATTGCACTGCTAGTAGACAATTCAAAGTGTTCAAACTTTTTATAACAGTTGCTAAAATATTAATAAGTGATTTTCTTTCCAATTTAGAGATTCCTACCTGAGGTACAATTTCACTTACAAAAGAATGAAATCCTGAGCCCTTTTTGGTCATAGGT